TACTGTAAATTGAGTGATAGTTGACATGGGGGAACATCAGTTTGTTTCATGGCAATGATTACAATCCCCTGCATAATCATGTTTAATCTATTCTCTCTGGTTGTTTTTTTTTTTTTTGGATGTGTACCAAAACACTCAGGAATATACAATCACTTAAACAACCAAAGGGCACACCCTACACCCTAGCCTCCAGCACACATCCCCTCTCCTTCCATGAGTCTAGAATCTTCAGCTGCTCTCTCTCTCCATGTCATCATCTCTACCTCCATCTCTGGTGATGGATTTAATTTTTAAAAAAGGTTCAGAATTCATGGAATCAGAGGACATGGAAACTGATAAACTAAAATATCCTAGAAGGTAGGTTTTCAAATAATTTGAAGTCTCTTAAAGAGTTTGACATAAATTCCATACTTTATTTACCCTCTAGCACGCTTCTATTTTGTGGTGTCTCTTAAAATACAGTAATTAAAGCTTCCTGTATTTGGTATGAGGAGGAGAAACACTATATATTAAAGAGATCTTCACTTGTTATCCCTAAATGCTTACATCTTACCTTCAGGGAAAGTCTGTCCTGCTCAGACTAGACATTTTTTAATTACACAGTTAGGTTGGATTTGAATAAGCCACTGATTTGCTGTGCTCCTAGGGAAATGATCTTTAATGAAAAATGTTCCTCTCTTGGCTTCTGGTGCTTTCTGGTAGGAAGCTCGTGCCTTGATATGTTATCACTACCAGGAAAACCAACCCAGCATTAATGGAAAAATAGCAGATGGGCTGCTCTATGTGCAGAACAAAACCTAGAATTAATACTTTGGTTCTAGAGCAGCGATCCTAAAAGAGAACCAAATTCATCTTGTGTATTTATGTTTTAAAATGTGTTTAATCATTACAGAAGTGATAATGAACATGGGATTTGGGGTAGTGATTGCTGGGGTTTCGAGTAGCCAGTACAATGTATGAAGAGAATCGCATGGTTAGTTCTAGGTTATTGTCAAGAGTTTCATTTTCATTTTTGGTCATAGGATCACGGAGCTTTATTATGAAAAGTAACTGATTAATGAAATACAAATGGACCATGCACAGACCAATAGTGATGGGTCATTAACTAACTGTTAGTAATACAATACTGTCATCTGAGGACCTACTGAAAATTCATATGTTTTTTAACACAGAGTTGTGGTCCCCCTCAGCATGTATAGGCTGCTGCTGCTAAGTTCTGTGACTGTTTTTCGAAACATCTCTGGTGCATAGCAATCATATGTAATTCATATACACAAACAGAGCCCCCCCCTTTTTTTTCTCTCAAATGAATTTGTGACATACTCATCTGATAACTGTGTGTGAAGTTTGTAAGTTATTAAAGGCCTCTTTCATGTACTTAATGACAAAAGGAATTATATCACTCTTCTTGATGACTGCATAGGCTTCCATGATATACTGCACCAGGATCTATTTACCCAGTTTGTAACTGATGAATACTTACTTTTTAAAAAATGTTTTATTGTGAATTATGTGATAGTTTACATGGGAGAACATTAGCTTTACATTCATCCTATCATATATCATTTCATTGCCACGGTTACAATCCTCTCCATGCATCAACAACCAACCAAAGGGTATACCCTGCAAGCCTTCCCCCTGGTCGTCAGCACACAGCCCCTCTCCCTCTCTGGGTCTAGAGTCTCCAGCTGTTCCATCTCTCCACGCCATCTCTGCCTCCATTTCTGGCATCACTGCTTCTCTGGGTAGGGTCCAGCTTTCTGCTCTTCTCTCTTGATGGTCCCAGAGACCTCTAATCTTGGACTGCAAAGCCAACCACTCCCCTCCTTTTGCTACAAAATGTTTACCTTGGCATTTCCAACCCTCACAGTCAGTCCTGATAGCAATTATTCACTATTGTGCCACATGAGTGCTAGCTCCATCTCCTTTCATCAGTCCCACCCAGACAGATTGGATACTACTCAGTGGAGATTCTACCTTCCTCCATGCCCTCTGGATCTAGGCTCCCTCTTGAAAGCTTGTAAGCCAGTCACTTCTTGCTTTTGTAGCCCCCCATTTTGGGTAGCCAATGTCCAAGTTACCCATCCCTGTCTACTCTGTGTATGTAGGGGGTGGGAATGATCCTTTCTGTAAGGATTTGGTCCCTCTTCTGAGCTACTGTATCCATAGGTGTAGGCCAAGTTCATCAAATTCTATCAGAGTACTCTTTTTTTCCTCTCCTTTCTTCTTCTCGTTGAGATCTGATCATCCAGCCAATGAAGCCAGGTCAAGTGGGTATTATCTGCAAGTGTGGGTGTTCTTGTGCATATCCCTTCACTTCTTAACAGCTGGACGCTTCACTGTCCACTCTAGTGCTCTGTGGCTATGTCACTGACTCTGGGCGCAGAAGTCTCCAGGTCTTGCCACACTGCTGGCCAACCAGGTCTCCATCCGGGTTCACAGGCGTCTATTGAATGTGGTAGGGCTTAGCTTCATTGCTGTTTTTCTCTCACTTCCTCTTATCGGTGACCAAGTCACCAGTCAGAGCACATATCTGCTTGTGTATTCCCATTGAGTTGTAGTCTTGGAAGGTGGTTTACCCTGAGGGGACCTGACCACTTGCCTTGATGTCTCTCTGGTGAGCAACTTGCTTGTTCTTGTAGTAGTAGTTAGTCTAGTAGTCAGTCGGACTGCCATTATTGTCTTGTATTTTTCCTGTTGGTCTTTCTTTGAAGAAGTATCTTCTGTTCTTCTAGCCACTCCAGGCTGGTCTGCTTGTCCTTTTGAGTGGAAATTTACCACTTCAGAAGATTCTGAATGGGGTTCAGGATTCCACCTATGGTCGTACGTAATTCAGAGGCTCCAAAGGAAGCCTCCTTTACTGGATACATTGTAGCCCCATTTTAGGTATTCCAGTCAGTTGTAGGTAGAAGACAGATTTACAAGCTTTCTATGGTGATGTTTCTGGCTATTCCTTTCTCTCCCCAAGTGTCTATTTTATAATGGTATACAAGGTAAACCAAGATTCAAAAGACAGCCAAGCATCTTAATATTGTTTCTCCAGTTTTGCCCATTCCAACCATGTCTCAATCCCTGTATCCCAGAGTCCTGTTGTTCCAAAGTTGTACATACATCATTATTTACCTCTGTCCCACTCAGCCCATGCAAACCTGCCTAATCGTTCTCCCATCCACCTTGTTCTTCCATTCTGAATACTTAGTTTTGTTTCAGTTCTTTAATATTAAAAATATCACCTCAGTTAATATCCTTGTGGTGGTGATGGTTATGTGCTGTGGAATCTCGGTTCCGACTCATAGCGACCCTGTACAGGACTTCTGAAGCGGTAAATCTTTATGGGAGCAGAAAGCCTCATCTTTCTCCTGTGGAACAGCTGGTAGTTTCAAACTGCTGACCTTAAGGCTTGCAGCCCACTACGTTACCAGAGCTTATTTGTACACATTGTTGTGAGTATATCTGAGGGTAAGTTATGAGTTGATTTTTCATATACCATTTTGAGTCAACAGAAAAAAGCAGTGTCATTAAAATACTTTGAATAATAATAAAAGGAAGTTAATTTTTTTTTTTTTTAATTTTCAGTTTTTAAATGTAAAAGAGACAATGTCTTCAATTTTTAAAGGCTTCATTTGGACCCAACCATCCATTTCTGTATTCAGGCTTAAATAATCACTTTTTCTGTACATAAAATGAGACTGGCAGAGTCTTGTTTCTAGGCAGGACACTAAAGCCCTTGGTCAGGAGCAACTGTGGACAGCACGCTCAGTGTCTAAGCAGCCCCTCCCCATGTGAATGGGGGGCAGAGTGAGCCAGCTGCCAGCTGCCACTCTTGATAGCAGAGTTGATTTGACTGAGCTGGATGGCTGGGACATGTCCCATCTCTCCTTAGTACCCATTTATGGTCTTTTCTGGAGCTGTGCCTTCCACCAAATAGGTAACCTTCCCAA